GGGTCTGTCGAAATGCCCATCAGAAGATGGCAATGTACTTAGAGGATTTCTTCCAAGGGAGAATTTGGTTGCCTTCGACGTCGAAGGTGTTTCTCGTCGAAGATGCTTCTCGACGAAGGTGTTCGATTGTTCAGAGTGGAACGGTTTGAAATTCAAGCGTTTGGAGGGAAAACGGTTCCCAGCGGTTACCAAGTGCAACGTGCAAAGATCTGGAGCGTCGAACGCTGAGAACGTGCCAAGTGGAGTCATCTCGAAGCGGTGTAACTGCCCGACGGTTACTTGGGATGTTTTAGTATAAATAGTAGTAGTTCACGCAGTTTTTCGCGTGTGTTCACAATTATATACAAAGTCACTCATATAGATTCGAGTACCCAGCGTGTGAGAAAGAATTGTTGAGAATGTATGTGTGAAACACCACTTTTATCAATCAAAGTCATTTATTTTCCAGAAACTTTATTTGCTTTCTCCTTTACTTTTCCTGTCGAAGCTTTTATTTCAAGCCTTCCTTTATTTTATCAAGTCCACTTCTTCATGCAATTTACTTAAAGCTTCTCTATTTTCTTGTCATTTAACCATTGTCAAACTTAATCAAAACCCCAAAATCAACCATGTCTTAGGATCAATCTGATCGATCCTGCGAGTAACCAAATAAGTAACCATTTGGAAGATCAGCGGTTGTTTACCAATAACCACGGTAAACACGTTCTTGCTAGGTAGTAGGTTCCAAAAGAAACTTGTTAAGGGACATACTTTACTGGAAATATGTAGCATAGAAAACTCACTGGAATCACAACTTACTTGAGAAGTAACAAAGGATTTTACTGGGGACTTTAACTGGGTTTTCAGTCATGATGTATGATATGTTACCTGGTATGGTATACCATGTTTATGGATATGATATGCATGGAATGATGCATGAAATATAACGAGTAATTGATGCTTATGACTTTGATGGATACCAAGGATATTGGGTTTTAAGGTGCCAAGAATTGTTGGACTTTGTGGATGTAGATGTTTCAGGCTATGATATATATTGGGACATGCAATAATGGTTTTAGTGTTTGGCGGGGTAGGAAACTTTGATTCCTCGAAATTCGAGAACTGGATAATCTGGGAAGTTGTGGACTAATCAGGAAGACCAGGGATTTCTATTTGTCGTTTAGAATCTCGTGTTGATTCTTTCTAAGAGGAATGATGGATTATGACCTGATTAGATCATGATGACTATTTAGATGCATTTGTAAGTTAGTTATTGTAAGCTGACGATCTTCCTTCAGACTTTCCAAACATCAAAGTAATTTAAAGTTTTCTTGAATCTTTTTATCATTATACTCAAAGGTTTTAATGCATTATTTATCAATAAATAATCAATATTTTGCAAACAAATGACAAATTGAAATGATAGAGAAAACCTCAAAAGAGGGATATTTTATTTGATATAAAAGTTGAATCGTACATAAGATGTAAGTACATTTGAATGTAAAAATCCTAAAAGAGGAAATTACCAAAATAGAAAAAAGTTAAATGGTAATGGGAAATTATACGAGTTTCCATTGAATTACAACACATGCTACTTTCCCCTAGGGTCTTGAGTCTCAATACTTTGCTTCAGAAAATGATGATTGAATTGATTCCTTTCATCTTAAATATAGTTGTGATGATGTAGGTTCAAGTGCTACAGTCAAATGCCTTTATTATAAATCCCTAATTTTTTTCTTGGACTTTGTTTTATATTTTTGTCCAACGGAATGCCCATATTTTCCTAAACCGCCCTTTCAAATTTTCAATTTAGCGGGTTTGTCATTTTTTATTTATCCCTAACTTTTGCTTGGACATCTCTTTTTTAGTCCACCAGAATACCCATTTTTTCCTAAGTTGACCTTGCGGGTTATTTACTCGTTTTTTCTTAGGCATAATACTTTCTAACTGCATTAGAGTTCACGAGAAGTGGAAACTCCTTCCCATCCATGGTGGTGAGGATTAAGACTCTGCATTAGAAGGAATTTTTCATGACAAATGGTCCATCATAGTTTGGAGTCCACTTGTCCCACGGATTTGAGTGTATCGGTAAAATCTTCTTGAGCACTAGATCATCTTCTCAGAACTCACGAGGACAAACCTTCTTATTGAGTGCTTTCTTGATCCGCTTTTGGTATAGATGATGTGGCATAAGGCTCTCAGGCGCTTTTCTTCTATGATATTCAGCTGGTCGAATCTGGTTTGTACACATTCAAATTCTTCTAGTTCAATCTCCATTAAGAATCTTAATGAGGGGATCTCAACTTCTATGGGAAGCACTGCTTCCATGCCATAGACTAAAGAGAAAATAGTTGCCCCATTTGATGTACAGACATATATTATGTACCCGTGCAAGGAAAAAGGTAACATCTCGTGTTAGTCCATGTAAGTCTTCACCATCTTTTGGATGATCTTCTTGGTGTTTTTGTTAGCTGCTTCTACATCACCATTTATCTTTGGCTTATAACGTGGTGAATTATGATGTTCAATCTTGAAGCTCTCGCACAAATCCTTCATCAAGTTATTATTCAGATTCGACCTGTTATCAGTGATGATTTTGCTGGGAGTCCCATAACGACTTATTATCTCATTCTTGATAAATTAGGTGACTACTTGTTTTGTCGTGTTCGCATAAGAAGCGGATTCTACCCATTTGGTGAAGTAGTCAATGGCCAACTAGAAGGAAACGATGTCCATTTGAAGCTTTTGGTTCGATCATTCCAATCATGTATATTCCTCACATAGAGAAAGGCCATGGTGCAGTCAAGACATTAAGAGGAATATGCGACTTATGTATCTTGTTAGCATAAATTTGGCATTTTTGGCACATGTCGCACTTTGTAAAATGCGAAAAGATGTAGCGGTAAAGAATTTGAGATTAAACCATCAATTGACTTATCTCACTCAATGAAGTCGTCACCGCACTTTATTATTTCCAAAGAGAAATAGAAAATAGCGAACAAAACCCACAATGAAATAAAAGATTAAAGATCAAGGTACGAGGGTCGATTATGCAAAGGGAAGGTATTAGAACCCTAAGCATCTACGGTACTCTGTAGGATCCACTTTGTTTGTTTTAAATCAATGAGTGTGTTATCTAAAGCTTAAACTTGCTAAAGGGGATAAAATGAATGAAACATTATTTACAAACAAAAGAAAATATAATGTTTTTTATTTTTTTTACTCGCCTTGGGTCGTGAGACCTGGTGCCTACGTACTCCCTCATACAATGGGAAAGTCAGAGCACTGTAGTTCGACACAAAAAGAACAAAACTGGATGTGTTAATTGATTTTTAAAAAAGAGACAAGTCGTCATTTTTAAAGGAGGAGACTCATCTAATCGTCCACAAGGTATAAGAAATAAAGACTATGCACCAATATGAGAGAGAGCTTAAGAACGCCTCTAGTACTCAAGTGAAGAGTTGACGACCATGTGGATAGAGGAATAACATCTCGATTAAAAATGAATCATGTCTAATCTAGAAAAAGGTTTTAAAGGATAAAAGGTGCTCAAGTGCACAAAAATATTTGAATGGGGTTAAATGTTTTTTAGTCTTTTTGAAAAGTGTTTGAATATGCTTATGTGGTTTAACATTTATTAAGAAAAGAAGATTGAAAAAAAATCGCTTTACAAAGTCAAGGTTTATTATGAAAGCAGTTAAAGTTGAAAAACAAAGAAGGTTTTGAAAAATATGAGAAGGTTTTGAAAATTGAAGAATGAGAAGAAGATGAAGAGAGTATCCTATGTACATGAAAGTAAAAGATAAAGATGAGAAAGATCTGACCAAACGAAAAAGCTCATAGTTGATATAAAGAAATCAATATAGTATTCTCATCCCTTTGGATTTAAAGCCACGAGCAGATAAATAAGTCAAGAAACCCAAGGCGTCAGATAATACTCAAAGCAATCGGATAAAGCAAATCAGGTGAAAATAAATCACAAGTCAGGAAAATGCACCGTTAAGCTCAAAGTCTCTAAGAACTTCAATTATTAAATATGAATCCCCACATCAGATAGCCAACAACACAACAAAAATTCCCAACAAACAGACAAGGCCAACAACACAACGATATAATCCAAAGTCTCAGATAAAGTTCCAAGAGTAAACTATAGAAAATCGAGGAACCAAAATGCAAATCGAGTCTAAGTCCACAAAATAATGCAAATCGAGTCTAAGTCCACAAAATAAGCTGATCAATAAAATTATATGCATTCATGTGTGTTCAAAAGTTAAACCAAAATCACCTCTAAAAATCGTAACGCAGTGTGAAAGTTAACTAATATTATATACACAACCACTATTTTCATTATTAAAAGAAACAACATAGATAATTAAAAAATAAAAAATTAGAATAATAAAAGGGGTGTATTTATGAAAGGAGAAGTTTAATGGGCTTAGACTAAAGTTTATGTCAAGTCTAATCTAATTTGAAATAAGACTTAAACAAAATCTTTCTAACAAAGAAATTAAAAATGAAAATCATAATAATTACATAAAAAAAATCATTGGCGAAGAATTAGAAAAAGAAATAAATATAGTGATAATTTGATTCTTCTTCACCGTAGTAAATAGTAGATAATAGAGAAAATAGAATTTATTTCTTCGTCTTTACAAAAGAAAATACCGATTTACTATGATATTATATAATTTTCTTTTTTGAGATATTCTATATTTTAAAAAGAGATTATATATTTTAAAATTGAAAATATAAGAAAAAAAATATATTTTTTTAGAAATTATAAGAGGAATAATTAACTATGATAAATTCACTAAAAAAATTCTTTTGTAGCTAATCATTTATTAAGAAAAATAAATAAACTTAACACAAAAGAAGATAACTAATAATTAAATAGGATTAAATAAAATTATAAAAATAAAAATTATAAAATGAAATAATAAAAAAAAGTTTGTACGTGGTTGTTGGTTTATTGTGTAGAAAGTACTTCGCGGATTTGACAAATGTTGTAAGTTGATTGGTGGCTACCGGCGGAAGCAGGTTTGACAGTGTACGAAATTGGAACGAGGAAAGCAGCGTGAGCTTCGTTTTTGTGAGAGTTGTGAGAGGAAAATAATAGTGATAATATAGATTGGTGTTGTTGTATGGGTAAGGGTATGTTTGGGTTTATACTGAGGGAGTATATGTTTCGGAACTGGGTGCGGGAATTGGAGGAATTGATGGTGGTTTATAGAAACAGGTTGGTTGTTATGAAGAGAAAATGGAGAATTGAGTGATGAAGATTGGTGATTTATGGAAATGGAATTAGATTGAAGATGAAGAGATGGAGTAATGTTTCTGGTTTCTCAATTTGTTTCCATCTCAAAAATGTGCCTCCCCACTGCCCTTATCTCGGTCTCTTATATATACAAAATAGATTAGGTTTAGCAATTTTATTCAATACCTAAAAAGTCCTCTAAGGATAAAAATGACATAAAAATCTAAAATTATAAAAATAAATACAATTTAAAATATTTTTCTTTTAAAACTATCGAAAATGATTAAAAATATACACTAAATTAACTAAAAAAAGTAAAATGAATATATTAAAATAAATTACGGGTCATAAAGATTAATAAAAATTAATAGAAACTAATTCAAATGATCATAGTCTTAAATAACTTCATTAATAACATCCTTAAGAATATCATCATCCTTATTAATTCATGAGTTATAGTTTTTAAACAACTTAAGTAAATAAAACAACTTATAAATCATATTCAACAAAAGGAAATATAAAACTCAAATCCAAAAGTTCTCAACCCTGATGTTACATATCATAACAAGACCTTCTAAATCAACGGAAAAATAAAAGAAATAACTCTAAAGCCATCACTGATACTTCTTCGAGCTATTCCTGAGAATCTTCACATTACCCACGTGGAGGCAACATTCAAACAGAAAGAGTGAGTAATCACATTCATTACAAAAGATATACAGAATAGACGTAGTAGTTTAAATAATCATTATCAATATAATCCATATATCACATATCATCATACATCACATATTATAACCACTCCTTCATATCATCACAACAGATCATCGAGACATCCTTTAATTCACAACAACAACATAATCATTAATTCATCAACGATCATTCATCAGGCTTCATTTACGTCACAACATCATCAAACACTATTTAAAACAACAATCATGCAATGTCACCTAAGATATAATGCAATAACATAGACTCATGCATGTGGTACCAAACTTCCTTGATGAACAATAGGTCATCACCCTCCAAAGATCCTCATCATAAGATCGATTTCCTCTTGGAACCGGACCACAACATAATAACGAACTCAATCCACACAATGGGATTGAGCCAACACGGGACCAACGTCTAAAACTGAGGGGACCAACGTCCAAAGTATGTCATGAATGCATGATGCACAAAAATATAATGAAACACAACCATTTCTAGTCAAATTGCATTATCATTCATGAAATCATTAACAACATTATTCACATAGCATGTATACACATCAAAACAGGCACATACTTCACTTCATTCAACATATCATCATCGAATACATCATATCACGATATAATATCATCATAGTAGCAACAACTCATCATACATCAGTACATCTTTATAATTCATCGCATAAAAGTCTAATTTTATTATAGAAAAGGTACTGAAAAAATACATTATTTCACTCATTTTATTCCACCAAAATATATTCCATCGTGTTAGCTTTCCAACGCTTCGAAAGGTAAGTCGAGCAGAGTTCGGAAACTCAAGTTACAACCTTTTCAAAATGCAAATAGTTCTTCTCGCCTGAGGCTCGTCCGACAAAGCTGTCTTTCGCCTTGAGGCTCGCCCGTAGACGCAGAGGCGACGGGCCTTGCCCCGTGCTTGCCTGGAGACGCTGAGGAGTTTTTCTTAAAAACCAGGAGCACCCAAAATTTCCCCTTCCCTCGCCATTTCTCCCGTTCAACGCTGCTTGGCCAAAGACTCTCGCCTGACGACACGTGCGAAACAACATCGCGGTTGCATGTCCTGCACCAAACCAGTCCCAATTTCCATGCAATGTCAATATATTTTAGTCCCCAAACTCATAATTCGACATAATTTCATTATACAACAACACGATATTATATGCATTATACCATGGTAAAGCAACATCATATTTGCATCAATTCCATCATGGGTCTCATCACATATTCATCATAATTCACATTCATCACAAAACCCAAACCTAATCCTACATGCATCTAAATCCACATATAACTTATAATAAATATATCACCCCTTACCTTAGATTCGTAGCTTGATCTTTCTCTTAGCGTTCTACAACGATCTCCTTTGGTTCTCCTCAAAGCCCTAGCTCTGCTATGATCTTCCAATTCTTTTTCGATTGTACAAATGAATCATAAAACCCCTTTTTCCTTGCTTAACCCTTAGACCACTAATATGAACTTTCCATTTTACCCTCACTTATCCTTTCAGCAATTACGACCTTGCCTTATTTTCTCTACACCAATATTTATCTCAATTTCAATTATTAAAACAATTCTAACCAATTATTCTAAATTATTTAAATTCTAAATAATACTAAATATCACCTTAATTCATCCTTACCCCACAACATAACATCACAATACACATCATATTCAGAAATGCATCATATATTCACCAATAATTCATAAACACCAATAATAAATCAATTAAACAAATAATTTAATTATTTTGGGGTGTTACATGATGGGTCTCTCACTCTCCCTTGATTTGATAGATGACAAGAGTTGAGTATCCATAGACTTCAAGGATTTTTATTCTTAGATCAATAGGTGCTTCAATTCCGAAGATACATGCTTCGTACTCCACATTATTGTTGGTGCACTCAAAATATAATCTTTTTGTGAAGGGAATATGATATCCTTTTGTAGAGGTGATGATAGCTCCAATTCAATGACCTATTGCATTTGAGGCCCCATCAAACATGAGCGTCCATCGTGATCTTGGTTCAGGTCCTTTGTAACACCCCAATTCTACCCCAAGCAATTTATGCAAAATAAATCAGAGTTATAAAATTTCAATCATACAAATGAATCGGGACGTCACAAATTCTTCTAACAAAATTCATTGCATTCATCATAGATATATAACACTTTTAATAAAACATCGGATGAACCATCGATATAGCATATTTAATAAAATAATTCAACAACTACGCATCGGAATTCTTCAATAACATCTTTAAATAAAAACAACAACTTCGAAACATCTCATATTTAATATTAATCAATTCAAAATTCAGCAACTGAAAATCAACAACCAAAAATCAGCAAGCGTTCATCCCCCCCCTCCCCCCCCCCCCCCCCCCCCCCCCCCCCCCCCGAGTGTTACATATTAGAGCAATGACAACCGACTCGAACTATTGAAGGTATACGACCTTCACTCGCGATTACCTGCACGTTACCAACATAAGGGCAACATTCAAACAGAAGGGGTGAGATATCTAATAATATAATAAAGCGCATGATAATTAATATATTAAATTAGATCACTAATATCACCACTTCTCATATCATGATCAACAATAATTATAGCATATATACTCATTCATCAACATCAAAATACACTTCATTATTCAATCATATTAATGCGACTCAAAACTATGCAAATGCATGTGGTACCATTGGAGCAGAACTCCCATCTCAAAAATATGCCAATTAATAAAGGCATCAACAAGGGCATAGCCTTCATCTCAAAATTTGCCAATCCAGGCCATCTCAATGAGCATAAGCTCCATCTCAAAAATGCAATGTATGCGACTCAACATGAATATAACAATAACACCCAAGTTAACAACATTTCAAATCATCTCAAAACAACAACATCTCAATCATCTCAAACATCTCAATTAACAACATCTCAATCATCTCAAAACATCTCAATTAACATCTCAAAATAGCAACATCTCAAATCATTAAAATAGTTTATTAAACATCATTTACTTATCAAACGTCATTTGTTCATCATAATTGTCAAACACAACTTTAATAACGACATCTCATTAATAACTCAGTTGTATATCAGTAATACAGTAATCCAGCATACGATCAATCGTGGGAATTAATTCTAAATCCTAAACTAGGTACTAGGATTACACTTCTTAATCATCATCTACACCATCTAGGTGTTGGCTCCTAAATTCGACACCTTTGTTTTGATTGATGTCAGCCATTAAAGCTGAAGGATGTCTTCGACTGGTTAAGTCTGTCGAAATGCCCGTCGAAGGATGGCAAAGTACTTAGAAGATTTCTTCAAAGGGATAAGGCTGGTCGCCTTCGACGTCGAAGGAGTTTTTTCGTCGAAGATGTCTCTTGACGAAAGTGTTTGATGGTCCAGAGTGGAGCAGTTTGAAATTCAAGCGTTTGGAGGGAAAACGGTTTCCAGCAGTTACCACGTGCAAACGTGCAAGGATCTGGAGCGTCGAGCATGGAGAACGTGCCAAGTGGATTGATCTCGAAGCAGTGTAACTGCCCGATTCGGTTACTTGGGATGTTTTAGTAGTATAAATAGGAGTAGACATGTAGTTTCTCGCGTGTGTTCACAAATATATACAAAGTCACTCATATAGATTCGAGTACCCAGCGTGTGAGAAAGAATTGTTGAGAAATGTATGTGTGAAACACCAATTTTTATCAATTAAAGTCATTTACTTTTCCAGAATTTTACTTGCTTTTCTCTTTACATTTCCTGTCGAAACCCTTTACTTTAAGCCTTGTTTATTTTACCAAATCTTTCCTTCATGCAATTTACTTGAAACCTTTTTATTTAAAGCCTTATCCAATTTAATCAAACTTCAAAATCAACCTATGTCCTAGGATCAATCTGATTGATCCTGCGAGTAACCAAAATAAGTAACCATTTGGAGGATCAGCGGTTGTTTACCAAAACCCAAGGTAAACAAATTGGCACACACCTGGTGGGACTGTGTGTTGATTGTTGAAAATAATCTCATCTTTTCGAGTTGTATGTTATTGAGGAGTGGTAGAATATACACTAACGATAACAATACTGCCAGAAGGAGGGAAGAGATGGCGAATCCGCCAAACCATAACGAAATCCCACAAACGAGTGTGGGAGCAACGGTTAGTATGACCGTAAGCGAAGCGACAAACGTTGGTTCGACACCAGCAGTGTCGGTCACAACCACGGGGCCAATACCTTCGTTAACAGGCCCCAGAATACCTTTGGGAACTCCCCCACCAAGGGGAAATTTAGGCACAAGGCCTTTGGTTCCCCCAGGATTTATTCCATTCTATGGTATGCCAACTTCTGAAGTGGCAA